AGTAAAGAAAAATAACCGAATATCGTGATAAGTATCGATATCATTTGATATTAAAAAAGTAAGATATTTTACCATATCGCCAAAATTTTAGGGCTGTCAAAATTAACGGGTTAACGCGGATTAATCCATCATCATGATTGATCTGATTAAAATTTTTAACGCAATTAACTCATCTGCAGCGCAGAATGATTCAAAATCACTGAAATGTCTCTGTCAACCCATTTCGGGTAGTTTTAGTGCGTTCCATTTCCCCTCGGAACTTCCGGAGTTTTGAAGCCGGAAGTGACTACATGCGCTCCCGTTTCTCGGACATCCGAGAAATATCTCGGAGCAGCACAGAGGATCCCGAGTTCAGAATCGGAAAGTTGTAGTCTTATACTGTACTACTTCTCATTTGTGGCTCATTAAATTGGCCGTACACGCTATACCGTCCAACTTATCTGGATGTGTTGCTACGGAGTTTTATATGTAAAGCACCGCACGTAATGTGTTATCAACTGATATTGCTAACAATGGCAATTAACCGGGCTAGAATAGGACTTCATGATTGTTGGATTATTTGTCGGACGTGCTAATTGTAAACGAACGAAGATAAAGACCATTTAAACTGAGGTATATTAAATCCGTCAAGTTGTCCGTCTAAGCAAAAAATCTTGCTTTTTGATATGGGTCCATGGTATTGCACTTCTGTGGCAGATGGAATGCATCCGACTCATGTTCAAGATGTTCAATAAACATGCTAAGTGCACATATATTCCCTTTTTTCTTGAGTCTGTTTGCTCATGCAAAATTAAATGTAATTAATATAGATTAAAAATGAATGATATTTAATCATGATTATTCAAAATGAATCCACAGGAACCCTGTGATTAATCTGATTAAAAATTTTAATCATTTGACAGCACTACAAAATTTATTTACACACAATTAGACAATCAGTCATTAGACATTCCAGAATTAATAAGATAAGGATAAAATTTAAGATTAGGGAGCGATTTTTTCGGGAATTTCCCACAGCCTCACCACTCCCGGGTACACGACCAGCCAGAAAATACTTATATGCATCGAAATATTTATAAACTTTAAACTGCTCAAGTGTGTAACTATACGTGGTGTGAACTAGGTAGTTGTCATAATGATTCAGTTCAGGGATGTAGTCCGCCCTGCAACGCTACAGAGGTCCGAAAAGATGACTCAGTAAGACACGTGTGTGTGTGTGTGTGTGTATATATATATATATATATATATATATATATATATATATATATATATATATATATATATATATATATATA